AAGGAAAAAAGCCAATTATTCTCCTCACCTTCCAGTTAAGTATTAGACCTTTACTGAAGGCCTGTGTGACAAATTAAAGGTCAAAATCTGGGGCACAATCAAAACAAGAAGCATTCATGAAGGTCTGTAGGTTGACTGAGCTGCAAGGAAGGATGGAACAGACCTCCTTACCCTACTTTTGTAAAGGTTTCCAGCAGTAAATGGTTGGGGTTTAATAGCTGTAAATCTGTTAGGATTTACTGCGTCTGAAGCCAATGTTGGAAATGAAGGGAAATAACTGATTGACAGTGGAGTTCCATCACAATAAAAGGATCAAGGCACTTCTCTCTTTTCTACTCTCAAAAGTCAGCAGTTAACCTGGGCACACACTTTTGCTAAGTCAGAAGGGAGAAAGATGAAGATGAGCAAATTCCAGGCTAGCATAGCTCTTTTCCAAGCTGAAAATTAATATGTGCAACTGCAGCAACAAACATCACAGCCCACTCACAAGTGCATACTTGGCAGCCAACAACCTACAAAAGTTGACTCCTCAGTTGACATTAATCAGGTAACCAAAACCAGCAGCGGCCAGTATCACAAAATCTAATAATCATTTTAGCTTTTTGCTCTGTCTCCTCTTTCCACAGAAATCTAGACTCCATTACCCTAAATATGAGCACCTTTATATGGCCTCAATGTGTCATTCAAACTGGCAGAGTATCCATTCATCCTAACCTTGGTAATACCCTGGGAAACACTTGGAAATGTGACTAGCATTTACTTACAGCAGTTTATAGGCCATTCCTGTCTCCTAGGATAGCCAGCTTTTTTTACCTACTCTAATTCTCTAATTTCTTCAAATTTCACTACAGCATTTGTCAAGGCACTATGCAGCAAATTACTATTTTAACAGGAAGAGATGGAGAATAACAACAGGATGACAGGAGTGAGTAAAGGCCTGAATAAGAGGCAGAGGGACTCAGAAAAGCCCAGCAACAGGATGAAGGGAGACTACCAAAATGGCATCTGCTGAAGGGCAAGATACAACTGGTTTTAACAGGACTTGGGCTCAAGGTGTGACCACTCCAGACCTTCTGGTTTCACAGCTCTCATAGAGACTTTGGTAATAAGCATCTATTTAATAATAAATCAAAATCCTGACCTAGTTATTTCACTAATCTCATTAATTGCAGGCAGCAGTCCCTTGCTCTTAGTACCCAGCCGCACCCATAACAAGCAGGATGGATTTAAGTAAGCGACACTATCCTCAGAAAAATGCATTGAAGTATGTATTTTGAGTAACTCACAATCAGTATTTGAAGCATATATATTTGTTAAGCATTCTGAGTAACAGAATGGAAGCGGTTGTCAGTATATTGAATATGTCAGAAACAACTATTTGATATCCACTATTTACTAGTTCCCATTTGGCTGTTACTCAATCTCACATATCAGACTATCACTAGTGTTGGTTAGCGAAGGGCATCAGCAACAGCTCGTGAGAATGCAAACACAGAACTACCAAAGAAAATTATCTCTGTCTGACAAGTCACTCAAGTGGGAATAAGTTAAAACTGCTACTGAAAATACTAGGCTGAAATGCCCAGTCTTGCCACAGGGTTTGCTATGATTCCTGATTTGCCAGCAGTCCCCCAGTTCCTAATCAAAGTTAATCTTAAACAAAAACTCACTAGATCCTTTCAGAGAAGGACAGCAGGTGGGATCACAGCAAGGAGAGGCAGAAGTGCTGGGGCACCCTGGATCACCAGGGCAGCTCAGGACCCACAGACACCGGTGTGGCTGAGCCTGCACCAAAGCCTCCAGACATCTCCTGCCTTCACAAACATTACACCTGTGAGTCCTTTGGAACATAAAAGCAAAAACCCACCATCTGAGCAAGTATCATGCCTTTGGAGGGCTCAATTTAACAAAAACATGTAAGACTGCTGCAGATGAAAGTGGCTTTGACTGCTGGGAGTTACTGGAACCTCATGTGCCAGGCCTGCCAGCACAACAGGGGACAGATTCCTGTAAGCCTGCCTTATGACAGACAGCTGAGGCCAGGAAATAAATCAAGTCTGGACGCTTCTTCTTAAGTCACCCACCACAAATTTTGTTTTGCAGAATGTGGGGAAAAAAAAAGTGTAGTAAGTTCAAATATGCATACACTTTAGAAGTATAATAAGTGGGGGAGGAATGATGCCTCTGAGCTGGCTCAGGCACAATAAAGATCTCCAAAATGGGAATTCTAATCCACAACATTTATTGCTTTGCTAATGCCAGCATCAGGAGAATTATATTTAGATCACCATGAATAATCAGCCACAGCAGACCCATCCTCACCCCCAGCAGATGCAGAACCTCCAAGGTTTTATTAACCTTTATCTGAGGAATGAATTGGTTTGTTGCATCCATTTATCCCGGAGAAATACTCCAAACTATCTTTAAAGGGCCACTATCACAGATCATGGACACTTTGATATATTTCAATAAGAGCTGGTTTCATTTTTGTTTACTGCAAGTTTCACTTTCGGATTCCAACAACCACACATTAGTGTTTTAAGCACCATATGTTTACTTCTTCACCCCTTGCTAGAAGCCTCCCAGCTGAAGTCCTCAGCCCTCTCACATTAAAGATACACATTTCTAGGAAATTACAGCTTTGAGGAGGTCATCTTGCATTTTGTTGGTTTAAACCACCAAACAGAAGACCATGCTGAAAACCTCAAGCAGTTAAAATTAAAACTGAAAACATTCAGAATTTTTTTTTTTTTTTTTTAGGTGAATGTGTTCAAGCTTCCTTCTCCAACTTTAGGAGGAAATGCTCATTCAAAACTAAAAGCAGAGATCCCCTACAATCATGTTTCCTTGGACGGGAGCTTTAAACACCCATATTGTACTGATGTCAGATAGTGCTGACCTAGCTTTTTAGGGATTTAAATATCATCCCCACTGCAACAATAAAAAAACCCAAAATCAACCAGACACCTTACTTTTACCAGGTGTTTGGCAGTTTATCTGCAATGCTACAATGCTCCTGGCTCCCAGAGAAGAAATGAAGGCAGATCCAGGGAAAGCAGCTGTTCAGTGCAGTCCAGGGGTGCAGAGCAAGGGGTCCTGGGGAGCCAAAGGTCTCACTCTGATCCTTCCATCCTCATCACACAGCTCATGGGAGGACACTCCACTCAGCACCTCTTCCCTGAGTTTGCAGCCCAGAATCAGCATCCCTTGTGTTGAGTGAGAACAACAAAGGGCATCCCAGACAGCCAAGTGTTTACAGTCCAAATGTACCAATTAAAAACACAATGGAGGTGATGAGATATCCCTGAATTCTTCCCCTACTTTCAATTAAACAGCACTGTTCAGTAACAACCCTTGGAAAAAAAAATTTCTGAATAATATTTGCATGCAGGACATACACACAAATACTTAAGATTTATTTATTTTTTAAGACTAAAAATTATTAAAATGAAGAACAGTTCAAGCAGCTCTTTCCCAGTATATCCTTTATCAGTGGATAAAAATAGTCAAGAACTTCGCTCTTGTATTCTTGAGGCAACACCTTTTTTTCCTGTTTCCTGTAAATGCCTCTATTGATGCCGAAAAGTTGCCAGCAGAGAAAAAAATACCATCCATCCACTGAGACAACCAGATGTTCACTGTTTCAGCAAATGAAGCCAAATTACACCTAACTTCTACTTTTACACCTTATGCAGCACCCCAACTGCACTGAACACATCTCTAAAACAAAATTAATTATTTAAAACCGGGAACTTTAGAGAAAAACACACCTGTGAGTCTCAAGCAATCTCAGCATTTGAAGCAGCTACATCTCACTGCAATTTGGGAGTTACCTAAAGCCATTCAGCCTTTGTGCCTGAATTTCCCCTCTGGTTCAGCTCCCAGTTTTTAAGGCAAGTCTCTTTGCCCTGAGTGCTAACAAGTGATCTATTATTTATAGCTATTGCACCAATCACAGAAGGTCATTGTGCTAGAGGTAGTTTCTTATGTAAAACTCTTTTCGGAAAGGGGGGGTGTGGGGGTGGGGAGAGAGCTGCCTTTCACCAAAACTGAACTGATAAGGAAAAAGAGACAGCACTGTTTACTCAGCAGCGAGTTGAAGTCTTTTAGCGCTGATAAACAACTGAAAGTAGGTAGTTTAAAGCATGTTATGGTCCAATCTCGATTTCTTAATTCGAAATTATAAACTGCAAGCAGCACTCTAATATAATTCAGTACTTATTTATTGTGGATTACAGATCACAACTGTGCTGCAAAGAGTTTACAGTCAGATTCCCCTACAGACGTGCCTCCCAAACCAAAAAAAGGGTTTGCTCTCCCCAGACTAGGAACACATAGTTGGCACCTCCTCCAGCAGAGAGCAGCTGGGCAGTTGCTACCATTTCTCATTCCACTCGATATTACCAGCTATTAAATTATCCCAAGTTTCTTGTTCAAGCTCAAACTCTCGCAAAACAATTAAAAAATCACCAAGCTGTGGGTCACAGCATGTTGCCATTTTCCATTTGGTGACTTTTGTTAGAGATGAGACGCACACACACATATATACCTCTTCCTGGGTATTTTCTGAGGTTTTTTCCCGGTTTTTCTTTTTTTTTTTTCTTTTTTAAAAATCCACAGTTTTACATACAAAATAATGCCTGTACAGGAAAACAGTACAAAGTTTGCCATGTTTTTAAGAAATGCAATTCCATTTTAATGACTGTGGAAAGCACCCTAAAACCCAACGACACAAAGAGTCTCCCTGCTGCAAAGTCTCCAACAACAACAAGGAAGTTTCTACCCCCGGCTCACAGTTTTGCTCCTTCCTTGCTAATAAAAAGCGTCTCTCGCACAACTGTACTCTCCGATCACACGCCACGGGTGGGGAAGTGCTGATTGTACAGTTCCGTTTTGGGAAAGTCAGAAATCATGTCCTTAGAGGTGGGGGAAATAAAAGTAATCAGTCACATTCTCCACCTGAGCAAGCAGCTCCCACCGCACTTCAGCCGGTTGGTTACCTGTCTGAGACCCAGGAGGAAAGGCATTCTGCAGGCTCATCCTCCACGCCAGCACATGGGAAGGCAGAAATTTAAAGCCCCACAGCAACCATTTCTTCATCTGCTGTGGGCAGTCCGCTCCTCCGATCCTATTTAAACCAGGGCTTCCTCAGCTGGGAATGCTAAGTAAACAGGGTCCTGGGACACTGCATGCACTCGCTGGCTCCCCCTCCTCCTCCTCCCACTCCCCGTGACATATCTCAGACGCAGCCCAGCCGGGGTGTTTGCAAGAGGGAAATGACATCAGGTCAGGCAGTTCTGAAAAAAAAACACCAAAAAAGAAAACAAAACAAAAACCCACCCCCCCAAAAAAAACCAACAACTCCCAACAGACAAATACACAGACACAAAACCCCCAACACAAACCAAAAATCCACGCATCCACCAAAAAAAACAAAAACAACAACAAAAAAAACCCAGCCCTGAACCTTAAGACTGCTGAGCTGCTGGGTGACACCAGGCAGGTCGCTGCAAACGGGACCTGTCAGGGAGCCCTGGTGCAGCAGAGTGCAAAAGTGCTCTCCTCCCTGCTAAGGGGATGCAGTCTATTCAAAATGTTGTCATGAGCCAACAGCGTGGTGATGATTAAATCTCACTAAGCAAAAATAGAGAGTTCATCTATTTCTGAGGGGAAAGCTAAGTTTGATGCTGCCTGCTGGACAGCACTGGAGTCCTAGAAGCCACCACCATGGTTTCTGTGAGTACCTCCAGACCCTGGGGACCACGGTATCCTTCACAGATCCAAAGCACTTCCCTGCTACCTTCTGCCTGTCACCACAGTTCCACTTTTTCTGACTCATAACACTGTTCAACCCTCAACTCCTGATAACAGCTGTCCCTCTAAAGAAACAGCAATAACTTCCCTGATGTCAAAAGGATCAGGATTGGACCCCTCTAGCATCAGACAGGTGATGGGAAGAGTTTAAAATTTACCTCTCCCCAGGGAAAATATGACTAGCCCTGTCAAAAGGTTTCTCATTCTACTTGAGCTCATTTCACATTTTCATGCCAAGGGGCAATTAAGCCTTATAAACAAATTTATCATCTGGCACCCAGGATGGCATGTCATGTTTGTCCTCCCCCAAGGAGTACAGCAAGTTCCACAGTGGTGTAGAAGATGACACTGCAGAAGGTAATCTAAATTTAACTTCCTTTTCTACCTCCACTTTGAAAGTTCAGCAACCTCTTTTTTTGTGCTTCTCTTTAATCAGCAGCTGTCCTCGTCTGTCGGGGAGGGGGGAGGGGGCCTGGGACACCATTGCCACTCCCATATGCCCCAGCAGCAGCTCCGTGGATATTTGACAGAGGACAAACTCCTCCGGCTTTTGACTTCTTTGGCTTTGGAGCCCAACACATTAAAATAAATGACAAGGAAAGGAATATACTTTTTTTCTATAGTGAGGTCACTGAATGCCTTTTTTAGTAGCAGTTTTTGTAGTGATTTCAGTACTTAAGAGAGAGAGAAATCACATAAAATTATTGTAAATAATAATTAGAAATAGGAGAAAAAATTAAAGACTAAAAAAAAAAAAAAAAAAAAAGCAGGACACCCCTTGCCACCCAACAGCTAGACAGCTTTCAGCAGTGCCAGAAAAAGACATCCATTTTGTACATGCCAAAACCACTCAGTGACCACCACTGCTGCCTCCTTTCAGTCCAGCCTAGTCCAGCCCAGAGTGGTTTCCCAAATGAGAACCCCACTCTGTGTGTCCTTTCCACAATTGGGCTATGAGACTACATACAAGCATTACTTATTTTACACCAACTTCAAGGCACCATCTAAAAATGCTGTTTAAGGATAAACACACCCCTGATTTCCCTAAGATACAACAAGCAACAAAGCAATTTCCTGGAGGATACAAAACATCGGTGCTAACTAGCATCAGCCAGGCAATGGGATTTTCCAGCTTTTGTGCTCTTGGATCAAACAAACTTTCAACCTTTGCTTTTCCAATTCTATGGACAAACATCAGTGATATAAAAGGGCAGCTTTCTGTTTTAGTAATCTGTTCTGTGGCCTCACACTGGCCTTTGAAACATCTGATTTTGGCTCTTGCTATCCAGAGCTCTGGACCAGGCAGATCACAGGGCTGAGCTAATGCAGCAGTTTCTAAATCCCTACTGTCAGAAGAAATCTAACTTTAACCACCCGCTTCTTCCACAGCACACACTCAAAAGGCAAAGCGTCATTCCAGATCTAAGACAGGTTGTGAAGGACTATCAAAAGCAGTAACTTGGTGGAAAAGCAAAAGCATCCTAATTTATGTGTGAATTTAGCAATCCTGGAAAGACTGACACAAAAAAGGTGGTTTGTAAACAGGCATTACCACATTCGACTGCAGCAGCAGCAGCCACCCTCCCTTGCAGTCCCTGAGTGACAGCGGGCAGTAACATGCTTCACAACTCTGCTATGGCCACTATGGAAAAAAGCCCTGTAAAAGGACAGAAAAAAAAAAAAAAAAAAAAGAGCTGGACAAGGTAGCTCATACCCTTCTAAAACACTGATCAACAGCCTTAGACCCTTTGCAGAACACCTAGGTTCTTCTAATCCTTGCAATTGCGTTGTATATACCAACTGGTATTCTTTTACCCCCTCCTCTTTTTTTAAGTCTGTAAATTCTTGCCCCAAAGCTCTGCCTGGTGGCAGTAAGTTTCATAGATAGTGGTTGCGAACAAATAGTTTCTTTCATCAGGAATGAATTCACCACCTTCTAATTTGGCTTTCATATTATTAACAGGTGGGAACAGAAGTCCTCATCCATCTTCTCACCCATTCATTACTCTGTACCTGTTAGCTATCTTCTTATAAAAGATATCAATCTTCCCTATCCTCTTAATGTAAAATCTTATCCTAAAGCCTTCAGCTGCTCATTGTCCATTTCCAAAACCTTTCTAATTTTCTTCTTCTCTCTGCCTGGGGGAAACCAGAGCTGAAATAATAATTATTTTAATGAAACCAAGAGCAGCTCTAAGGCAGGCTTAGCATGGGTACACTTCCTTTATACAAACCTGGAACTTAAGATCTGCAAAGGCTACACAAGAGTGTGTCTACCCAAGATATAATAACAAAACAAACATAAGATTTGTGTGTTTGTTCACACAGCTCCTCAGTAGATGACTCTCTTGAGGGCTCTGAAAAGTCAGGACTAATGTCAGACAGATTATGGGATCTACATGACTTTCAAAATTTGCTTGTTTAGGTAGCCACCAACCATCCTTTTTTGGCGTGTCAGCATGGATCCCACCACAGAAAAGTGGTGAGCAGGTTTCTACTGGAAAAGAGGGAGCAGAGGCCACTAGGCATTACCAATCTATAATACTGCTCCAGAACATGCCATCTGCCCCAAACTTGATGTCCTACAAAGGATGCTGCTCAGTACCTTCACAGGCCAACACACTGTGCCTCATGACCTCAGATATAATGTGCAAGTGAAGCACAAGGTGCAAGTTGTTTGGGCCATTTCAGAGTCGCTTTCCATGTTTGATGGGAGATGCAAGCAAGGTCTGGTAACCAAGCAAGGTATAGTACTCATTTTGATATACCCTGAGGAGATCCAGTTATGATAACATGACTGCAAGAAAAATTGATGCTGTGCACCTCAAATCTGTCAGGCTTGAAGCATGAGGCTGCTCTGAGTTGGTCCACTATTACAGTCCTAGGCAGAGAGAGGTTTTGAACAGTATATACAGATGATGTGTAACAGCCTCTCGATTAAACTTTAATACTATAGTTCTGTACCTACATACACAGGTTGACCATAAAGCTGGAACAATTTTATCTAATTATACTTTCATTTTCCCCAGTGCATTCTGTTATTTTCATTTTGATAAGAGGAGTGTTTCTGGAGCACCATTTTTGTTAGTCAGCCTGCAGCCCTGGGTGCTAGGACTGAGACTTCATAAGTCTGGCATGTACTCAAAACACAGTGTGAAAGGAGCAACCTCAACAAAGGTGACTTTACCTTTCCCTGTTCTGGGGATGGTTTGGGGAATAAAGAATAGAAAAAGTTAAGAAACATACAGAAAGGTGTAAAAGCAGATCTCTGTTTCTCTAGAATAAGACAATATCCAGGAACAACAAGCTCCATCTGACTTGACAGCAAATATTCAAAAGGGACTAGTTTGCTAGCAAAACTAGCATGAGACATTGGGAGATGACCAATGCTGAAACAGCAATGCAATGCTAAATCTGCCTACAAACCACTTCTGTCTGCCCACCTGTGAACTTGTAGATCTCTGAAGAGTGAAGGGCAACTTCCCCACCCCAGTGATAGCACTACAAGAACATGATGCCTCTCCAGTGCGAGGACCAGGTGTCCCGGGTTCATGTAACATACAGCATTGGCACTGCCTACCAAGAATGCCCTCAACAAATTCCAGAGGACCAAGAAGAAGAGGTCAGGCTGGTAACTTCCAGTACCTGCAGGACCCAGAATATCTACTCTTTTGCTCAGGGAACAAATGGCCCAAAACAAACCTTTTACTCTGTCTAGTATAACAGTATTGTTTAGGAGTGGGATAAAGGGGGGTCCCCCAATCCACATGCACTTCAGCTACAAAACAAGAACACTGGAGTCATTGCATTTACTATTTTTCAGGCTAAACTGTCTTAATCTTTGTTAGAGAAAGCAAATAATAATTTCAGGAAGAGACACCATATCTGTTGGAACCAGTGTGTGAGTTAGCACTGCAACCAGTCCGACGGATCAATAAATTTTAATGTGCAACAAAACACAAGGGCTTGCGGTGGTAAAAGGCTATGCCTCTTCCCCACAGGCCGCCACTTCTGTCTGCTCAGTGATTCAGAAGTGGAAAAAACTCTTGGAGCTTAGTAAGTTAAGCAAACAGGGACAGTGCATTTCAACCTCACTACTGTTACCTTTCTCTCTGAGTAACTGGTTGACCAGGGAGGATGAGACTGCACTTCAAAATATTCTCAGTGTTATCGAAAGCCCCAACAGCAATAGCTCATGCTTGATTCCAATTGACTCTTGGTTCCAACTGAATCCCAAACAGCAATTGTCAGCCAAGCAGGCAAGTACAAATATGTACCATATCTCCACCCAAAAGCCATGTGTAAGCCCTGAACTCAAGTAGTGTGCACCACAGAGGAAGCCACTACCCACTCCATCATCTGCTATTTCAGTGAGAGCTTGTCCTCCTCTCCACTGCTCCTTTGTGGGTGAAGAAATGCCACAGAAAAGCACTTCCCTTTGCACTGTTGTACAGCAAGCAATCCTTCCTCTGAAGCTGCCTTTTGTATTAAGCTATCCTAAGGGCATTCAAGGAAAGGGCAGGGAGCAGACAAGGGGTGGTTGTGGAGGACATACCCAAGAGGAGTCCTCTCCAACACCCATCTGACAGAGGAGATAAAAGCAACCACATCCAGGCTCTTCAGACACTCCTACCCACTCTGTTGTTCAGCTGATGGGACAGTGGCAGCAGTGAAAAGTCCAGGCTCTTCTCTGAGACCAAAACAGTTTTTTCTAAGTGTAGCTTGAGGTTTCCAGCCCTCAGTGACATTGTTCCCACTGCTATTTGGAGCATGGAGCAGAAAACAATAGCCACAGGTCCAGTGTGGTTTTTTTCACAGCAACAGAGCTGAAGACAAACCAGTGCAACTGTAATGCCAAAGTCTGTGAGAATCATCTATTTTTGTGTGACTGCTCTAACACCCACGTCTGCCATCCAAGCCCAGAAGTGTTAAAAAGCTTCAAAGTCCTTCATCATTGAGGCACAGAGGGACTAAAGGGTTGAAAGTGCCCTACTGAGAAGTGATGTTAAGTGCTTCAAAAAAGATTGGGTTGATTCTGCCCCTTTAGCATTCCCAGGTTTTTGGGCACCTGAGATGCCCAAATGAAGATGTCAGGCTTCACTTTTAGTCTGGAGTGGGTAATGAAGTCATGGTAAAGCCTACTCAGCTTTCTTCTAAGCCTGCTGGGAGGGGGAGAAGGAGGAGGGAGTGGAGAGTTCAGCTGTTAAATATTTTATGAGACTGCCACAGTGTATCCGGGGTGGTACAGGGACACCAGCTTGGCTCCTTGCTTTTTGGCGCTACTCTTGTCTTCCTGATGCCCATGTATGCAAACAGGATTTCGGTAATGGCTCAAGAGGAGACGACCTGCTCCAGACAGGGAAGAAGGCAGCTTGCAGACAGTAACAGGATCCCCTAAGCACAGAATTAAGACGGTAAGCGTCTGTTCTAGTTTTAGAGTCTTGCACCATGTAGGTACCAAAAATACAGCCTGTGTGTGCCCTTTGGTCACATCATCACAGACATGCATTGTCCCAGAGATGCTTACGAGCACAACCTTGATGGAGAACTTGGATGCCCTACTCTTACAAATGCTATTTGATTTCTCTACAAATGACAGCAACTCACTATTTTTAGTGCTCATCTCATGGCTGCTTGGCGTTTCCCTTGGGCCTTACTTACCCTTGTTTCACAGCTTTGGTGCCAGCTCCCACGAAGCATTTTTTTGATGCCAGAAGGGATCAAGCCAAGTCTGTCTGTGTTGATGCCAAAATGGCAGCTGGCTTTACTGTTGAGACAGGATTTGCCAAAACTAACAACACTAGTGCTGGGGTGACTAGAATTGACTTTAAGGTTTTCATCTTCCTTACTCTTCTATTGCTTCTAGATTCCAGGGGATAACACTGCTCTAAATACCTTCTGTGGCCCTAGAAGATGGATTTTTTATCATAGGCTAAGTCAATACGCAATTATACAGCAGACAGTGTTAACTCAGAGACCCTTGAAGAGAAGGATACTTTTATACATGAAGCAATTATCCGGGATGCAGCACTGCTGCTGCTGGGCCCAAATACACATGCCAAGGCCTGCTGCAGATAAGGCAGGGCATGAACTCTCAGAGCCTGCAAATATGTTTATAAAGAACCTACCACAAAACCAGACAATCTGTTGAAGATAAGAGTGGCTACGTGATTTACCAAGATATACCTATGACAGAAGTCTGGAGTGCACAAGAAGGTCAGGGATCAGCCAAATTGCATTACGTTACATGGGCAAGAAGATAAAATCCAAGCAAGTTAATTGCCCTTTACCCCTTTTGCACTCTCACAAAGTGCCACTGTGTGAAAAGCCAATATTCAGATAAAATCCAGTCTCACATGTGATGCACAGGCATGTTGGTTATGGGAAACACCCACAGAGATAGGAACACATAGCAGATGTGATAGGCAATCACACATGCAGATGCCTGTAAGTGATGGTACCCCTGCAAATTACAAAGTAATTTGATGTTAACCTCTGCTACTGTTCTTATAAATCTAAAACCCACACCTTGCTCAGAAACAGTTGTGTCAAATGGGCACCTGATTGCCAAAAGACACTCAGCTCTTGCTCCAGGAACCATGCATTTGTTAACCTGACAAGAGGTAAACAATTGGTTAAAAGGGCTTTGAGGCTTTGTAATGATGCAAGACTTTGCTGGGAGGATCTGTTATG